CCGGGGACTAGCTCGGAGGCGCAGACCCCTTGGGCCTGCGCCTCACGGACCACGCTCAGGCCTTGACACGCCTGGGCAGCATAACGCCATGGATCCCCTTCTATCCCATTACCTATCCATTAACTAGCTCCTCTTTTATCCGTTCCTATCCCCGAAAATATTTCTTTCTGTTTATTGCCTTCTGCCCAATTATGTATTGTATTGTCGCCCCGTTATTCTTGCTATCCCCTTACCTATCCCGTTACCGCTCCCCTTACTATGCTATATTATGCCTTAGAATAACCGTGTACTATGACCTTCTCCGGAACGCACCAAGACCTTCTCCAGAACCTTCTCCGGAACTTTCAAAACCTCCCAGACCTTCTCCGGAACCTTCTCCAGAACGCTGGTGAACTTGACAGACCTTCTCCGGAACCTTCTCCAGAACCCTGATGAACCTAGCCTGGCTCTGCACCAGAACCTCCCAGACCTTCTCCGGAACCTTCTCCGGAACCCTGTTGAACCTGACCTGGCCCTGCACCAAAGCCTCCCAGACCTTCTCCAGAACCTTCTCCGGAACCCTGTTGAACTTGACCTGGCTCTGCACCAAAGCCTCCCAGACCTCCCTCCCACACCTCGGGAACCTTCGGAACCTTCTCCGGAACCTCGTTGAACCTGACCCGGTGCCTGCACCACTGCACACCAGAGCTGTTCTGGGCTGAAGACTCCATTAGCTTACGCTGTTGGGGAAAAACCGCAGATGCTGGGAAAATGACATGCGGTCATTATCAATGCAAGCTCTGTTGCCGGCAATTGACTGCGGCCAGCAGAATTGCATCATATGGCTCAGAAATGGATCTCTAATGATTTCTTGAGAAATATTCAACCTCAAATCTTGTCATCTTGCACCAACAAGCCCAAAACACGCACTCTCTAGGCACCTTCGAAAGTGGCGCTGGAGGACAGCTGGAGTTCTGTCGCAAGAAATTCCTTACTGCCTGTCCGACAAAGAGGCACACCGGAGACGGAAACCTGTACAGATCTTATGAAACCTGGGCATACAAGACTCATCAAGACTCGTTGTTTCATGACACACTGCCAGAAACCGGTGATGATTTTTTGTGACGTACCCAGAACTCATGGGTTGAACAAAAACGGATGTGTGAATTGAGCCCTGACGTCTGAACAGTGAGAAACCTGAGAAACCGATATGCTGAAGGGGATCCCAAATTTCGCGTGACAAAAACATTTTGCTACTTGGAGTTTGAAGAGTACACTTGTGTGTGTGTTTGTTTTTCCACTTTCAAAGTAAAGTGTTGCGGAGAATGCTTCCTCCCTTCCCACTCCAATAATTTTCAAATGGGTTTGGGTCAAAATTCGCGATTTCACCCGGATAAAGGATCAAAACCCTGGTGGAATCTTAGAACAGATTGCACTCCGCAGCGCCATCTCCTCCAAGTTTGCAGCGCTTCCAGCTAAGTCCTCATAGTAGACGTGCAGCACCGGCAAGCCCATCGCCTGGATGGAAGCGACTCCGTGACTTGCGGTGCATTCTTCTCATCCCATCGCCCAAATCTACGAAACACAGTTTGAATGATCATAGCTAAACCAGCTAAACAAAAAAAAGAATGTTCAACAACAATTCTACTATAAAATCTAAGATCTTCAAAGGAGGAATCAATGCGCGACAATTTTTAGGTGTTTCGATTCCCAATGAGGATGGCGCTTGCCCAAAAAAACGATTCGATTTTTGTCAGGTGTTCAGCTCGAGTCGCTCTGGCTTGTCCCAGTATTTGTCGTACCTGCTGAATCTTTTGCTTGTCACCTCGGAGCACCACTTCCCGGACTGGTGATCCAGCCTTGAAAACTCCAATGACCAACATCTACCAAAAAATCCTCAAAAAAGGTCCTATGAATACTACTTTGAAGGAGACGAACATGGGATTCAAAACGAATCCCAAGGTACAGAGCCTGCCAAAAACTGTGGAACCACATCAAGTTGCATCCAGCGACGTTGCAAAAGGTAGGTGAGATTCTTTGGATCCAGCTCCACTTTCTCTTTCCTTACCTGCCAGGCGTATCATGGCATATCATGGCGTATCTATAGATATCCAGGTAAATCTTCCACTTTCGCTTGGGAAGTGCAGGTGTTGTGCTGATCTCCTGACTTGAGCAGAATGTCGCTTCGTATTACTGCGGATTGTTTTGTGTTTGTCATATCCAGGTCTTGATCCTTTCTGGTATCTGACATCACATAGTACTGCTAACACATCTCAAAATTAAGGTGATACCAGTATCTATACCACAAAAAATGACAATTTTTATCAGGATCACATCTGTCCAAAAAGCATCCCACAAGATCCCGTGGCTTTTTTTCCAGGGATGGCCAGGGGTTCCATGGCTTGCCCCCGGGCCTTCGTCGCCTCACCAGCGTCCTTGGTGGCATAGACCGGCACCTTTCGATTCGCCTCAACGGAGAAGATGCGTCGCAGGTCGTTGCGGCGCTGTAAGAAGACGATGCCTGGAGTTTTTCAAGAGCCCGGAAGATGAAAGACATATGATGACGATTGTGAAGATTGCGGTGCAAGGCCCACGAAGTCCCCACCAATCCCAAGGTCTCGAAAGGACCGCCGAACCTTTTCAAGAGGTGCGGCTCTGCGTAAGCCAATGTGGCACGTTCGTCCCGCCACTGTAAGAGGAAACAGCGACGGCAAATGATCAAATGGTGAAAATGTAAAAGGATGCGGATGCAAACTTGACACAGGGAAATGTTCTTTGTATAAGTCCCTCTCGGACTTCAGTGATCACTTCGGATCAGTAGAATACAAAAGACAGGAAAATGGCGTCATACGCCAGAACTGCTCGTAGCTCGCGCTTGCAATGCCAATCGGACTTCTCCATCAGGAACTCCGGCAGCACGAAGGCGAGCTTCATCATCAAGAATCGCTGAAGCTTCGGCCAGCACTTCGGGATCTTCATCAGCAAGCCCATTCGCCATGAAGTTGTCCATGTCTTGGGCCAGCGTGGTGTTGTTCATGTCATGGATGTATGGGGTCACATAGAAGCTTGCACAGTTGTCGCAGGCATGCAACTCAATGACTGCACTGCGGTAGAGCTGGTAGCATTGGTCGTCCAGATGCCATACACGTCCACGAGGCGCATGATAGATGGGCCGGCCAACTGTGCATCTGTTATGCACATGGTTGTGGGTTTCTGCTCGGGCACGGCCAACAACATCTTTTGCTTCGTTGAAGATGGCACGCAGGCGACCAATCTGTCGAACGTAACCCATCTTGTGCCGGTTCATCAGGCGGCACTGTTGATCCTTCTGCCAAAAACTGGCTTCAAGGCTCTTGAGCTGTTGCTGCAGGCGTCGGACTTCTCGATCTGCAATGATCGGTCCACCAGGAACAGTCAGTTGCTGGACCTGTCGGGTCAGCTCCTCGATCTGGTCCTGCAGGGCGATGTTCTCCACCACCTTCTCATCCAAGCGGGCAGACAGGCGATCGCTTCGGATGTGCCTCTGTCTCAATATGTGATTTCTTCCAATCCACCATCCGTGTACCCATCCGGTGAGGTAGGTACCCACCACAAAGACCACCAAGGTCAGCACCACAACGGCATCCCAGAAGTAATCCCAATAGGAAGTCTTCGACTCCTGGATGACGTCGACGTAGGGGCATGTGTCAGGTGTGATTGGATCGCTCAGAGGAGCAGCGGCAGCACCAAGTGGTTGCAGAAGTCCAAGCATGAGAATGCAAAAGGCAAAGCGCAGCAATGCTCGAAGAGACAGGATCATCCATATGCCCTCAAACTTTGTTTCCGGGTCGTAGGAGATGTCCATGATCGGGGTGTGCACAATCGGCAGGGTGTCGTTGAAGTTCAGGTCAATGGCTTGGTCAGGACGTGGCTCCTTGGGAGCTGCAACAGCCTTGCCAGACATCTCATCCCAGTTGTTCATCTCATAGTTGATTTCCTCGCCAAAGCAGGCAAAGGTTTCCACAGGGACGTCTTCAGTGGTCTCAGGTTCTTCCACCACTGTGGCAAGAGGCTGCGAGAACTCATCTCTGCTGGCATTGCGGTCGGAGAGCTTCTTGCGCTTGGCCGCGATGTAGTCAGGATCCCAAGACAGCTTGATCCTTCCATAGCGAAGGCGGTCTGCCAGCAATTGGCGAGTGCCCTCTTTGGCCAGGGAATCTGCATACTGTCTCTCACTGGAGATCCACTTCAAGCGGCCACCAAGCGATTCCAGCCCTTCTCGCAAGACCTTGATCTCCAAGCCAGTGCGCTTGTCTGTCAAGCCACTGCTGAGGCTCTCTCTGTAGTAGCTGTCGTAGAGGGCTTTGGCGTCTGTGACAAGCGTGGGCTCCAAAGGGCTCGGCTTGTGCAAGATGTTGGCAAGTGGCTCGTTCGGCTCCAAAAGGTGTTGGTAGAAGCGGCAAACAAAGTCCATGTTGTCGCAGGCCTGACTTGCTGATTGAGCTTCGGCTCCAAGACTCGAGCGGGCAACTCGTGGCAACTTCGATGAGCGCCAGTCAATGATATGGTAGGCTCCTTCGGTGCCATCAAAGACGTCTTTGGAGACCAGCATGGTCAGGTAGCCACCTTGTGAGGATCCGTCACGTCGAATGCCAAATGCTGCATCGACCATTGTGACAAGTCGTAGATCTTGCACATCACAGATGCGTTCGTAGCAAAGTGCCACGTCAGCGTTGAGCTTGGCAAACTTGAGCAAGCGATTGGCATCATGGATTGATTTGACCAATCCTGCAGAGACTTGTCCAGCCAAAAGAGATGTAGAGCACTGCAAGTGCGGTTGTGATTGCACAGCGGGCCATTGTAAAGACCCAAGCAAGCCTCGCATCTGGATGACTTCAGACGGTGTCATGTAGTCCTCAAGACCTCGATCACGTTGAAGTGAGATGGGCTTCACCTTGCGCAGATACTCTGCGTGATCCACCTTCCATCCACCAGTCGGGGTCTTTTGAAGGCTTGCGCCACAGTACTCTAGCTTGTCCTGGTCCTTCCATTCGCGGAAGTTGAAGATCTGTCGAAGCTGCTTGACAACGTGTTGGTAAACCAAAGATTCTTCTAGTCCACCTCCAAGCATGTCGTCCACGTGGATGCAAACCATGCCAACGATCCGTTCGGATCCCAAACACTTGCTAGGGTCAGAGGCTTGAATGTCGGGGAAGTCAGCCTCGCAGATGAGGAAGCAGCAAGGATCCAGCATGTGAGGGCGCAGCCCAATTGATGTCAATCTCCTTGAAGCTTCGAGAAACCATCTTCTCGGTGCGTCGATCTGTCCATAGCAAGGTTTGCGCAGCAGCAGCATTCGGGTCGTCTCATCAGCACCCAAGATGTTAAGAACTTCTCGGGGTAGCTTGACCCAGAGTTGTCGTTCTTGAGGAAGTCCTTGTAAGAATGCTGTCGCAACGTCGGCTGTCCACCCACACCACTGCAAGATTGAAGACAAAGACAGAAACATAGAGCGGCTCAGGCGGCTTGTGGTGGGAGCTGAAGTTTCCACCTTTCCTTCAAGCGCGTCCTGGTCGTTGTAGCCGCGGACCACCAATCGAGCTTTCGCTCGCGGACTTCCATCCGGGTTCTTGCTCCACTTGAGCAGCATGCGTGAGGTCAAGGTGCGTTGCGGGTCAGCATCCCGAACGCTGGAAAACTCCCAGACTCCATTCTCGAAGAAACTGCGAAGCTCCTTGATCTTGGCCTGCATGAACTGCTCGCGCTCGTGCATGGTGAGTCCACGCTCGTTGAGCTCAGAGGAGGCTTTCTTCTTGATGGCCGCATGTTTCTCTTGTCGTGCAACCCTCTTTGCGGGAGTGGTGGCATACATTGCAAGCTCCTTTCTCACAGCCCCTGTCAGTTGGTACACAGTGAGTCCAGTCCAGGCGGCCTTGTTGGGCGCAACCACAGTGTCAAAGCGGTCGGTGGAGACCTGGATGGTGCCATTGGGTGCACGCATCATCGTGACACAAACTGGGTCCAACTGCTTCAGGTCAAAGGGACAGTCCTTCTCTTTGGTGATGTCGTGACGGCGATGTCTAGGTTGCAAATGATGTCGGATCAGGCAACCGGCTTTGATCTCCCAGTAGTCGTGGAAGTTGTGGGCATCGAGCTGGAAGTAACCATGCTCATCGATGCTCCACCCTTTGGGAAGATCACCACCACCAATGTCATCGACTGCAAAAGCTTGACCAAAGAGCTCTGAAGCAGACTGTGGGTCTGCAGGAGGTGCTTGTTGTGGATAAGGGTCATGGCGTCCTGCACCACGTCGCATGGGACCAAAAGGAGTGAACTGCATCGTCTCATGTTGATCCATCCTCAGCCGTCTTGTTCTGAAGTCTTCTTGGGCAGGCTCGTAGAGCGCAGAGGATGTGGATGTCAGTCCAAAGGGGTCAGGTGCAGGCGCAGATGCGTCATCAGGTGTTGGAGGCAGTGTTGGAAGCGTAGCAGGTTCTTGGCCTGGCTCATCTTCATCGACATTGATCGGCACCACGTTGTCGCCTTGTGGAACTTGACCTGGAGGTGGTAGAGCTGGGACAGCTGGTGCTGGAAGAACAGCAGGTCGTGCTTGTCCAGGAAACTCAGTAGGCTCAGCAGGTGTGTCAGCTGGTGAGGTCCGTGCCATGCTGAGTTCATCTTCATCTCCAAGTCCCAATTCTTGGATGACCTCGTCCAGAGAAAGTTCAGGCCTTTGGGCCGTGGTGTCATAGGAGGTGCGCTGGCGTGTTGTTGGTGGCTGCAAGTCATCAGCATCATCGTCGCCAGCTTCTGAACCTGAGGCAATGTCGTCCTCATTGAAGTCCTCAAGACGTCGTCGTCTGTTGATCTTGTTGAGGTCCAGAAACCTTGTGACACCTCTGGACCGCAGTGAGGCGACTTCACGTCGAGCTTCTTGAGCATCGGCCAGTTGGGTGTCGGCTGCAGTGAAGTCAGCACGCACATGGTGCGGTGAGCACCGGATCAACTGCGTCTTGTAAGCCAGCCAGTAGAGCTCGGGCTTCTCGTCCTTGGAGTACTCAACCATGACGATCCTGGCAGGTCCATGCCATCTGATCTTGACCAAGCGGTCTTGTCGTTGATCCCTCCAAAAGAAGCACTTCTGCCCGATCTGCAAAGGAAGGTCTGTGCCTTGGTACTGTCGCAGAAGGGCACGTCTCAGCTTGGCATCAAGATCTGCAGAGATCAAGGCTCTCTTTGCTGCAGCTCGCTGTTGAAGAAGTTGTTCAAATGGGTCATGGCCTCCCAAATGGGCTGGAGCCAGCTCTTCCTGCATGAGTCCACCAGGAAGTCGAGGGACCTTGCCAAGGAGCCATTGAGATGGGCTGTAACCGGCCACGCTCACTGTGTCGTTGAGCTGTGGGACCACATAGGTCAGGGCCTGTCTGATGCCCTTGGCACCGGTCACTTTCATGTCATCCATGTAGATCTCGATGGCGCGCCTCAAGGTAACGTGTCGGCGCTCGACCAAGGCAAGTCGATGGGACTCAGCTGGAGCCACAA